ACGCTGGTCCTCTGAAATAGTCCAGGCATAGCAAACACCTCCAACCAAGCTCAACTGTGTGCTCCAATTTAGTGGGGACACTTCTACTTTCCATTTTCCTTCATGTCAGAATTGACTCACGGCGACCTCATGCATGTCAGAGTAGAACTGTGCTCCATAGGGTTGCACATACGGTTGGCGATGGCTGATAGATCATAAGTAGATCTTGTTCTTGTGAGACTGCTCTGGGTAGACTTAAGCCTCTTTCTATAGCTGGTTCAAACTTTATCCTTGTCCTTAAACCAAAGCAATCCACCCATTACGTAGCTCAAGCCTATGCCAAAGCAAAGAACCATGCAGTTCACAATACAATCAGGCGCAGAGTTACTGGCGATCCTAACAGACAAATCGAAATTGATTTTGGGGTCTAAATTCACCTGTCAGTAGCTTTGCATGGGGTGTCTAGCATATCAACAGCACATTGGAAAAATATCCTACCCAATGTATCTCAGAGAAGCACAGAATGAAGACAATCCTATAGATTCCATAAATAAATGAAATTGCTCAGACTATAAAAAGCACAGTTTCCAAATGCCCTTGCATGAAACAGATTGGAGAAGGCGTTTGGGCGTGACCCAGATGTCCAGCGTCTTCTCTGTGGTTCAGGGCTCCATTTCAACTAGAAGATGCTGTGGCTAAAGCTGTCTTCTAATTCTCTTCTCCCTCTTCTCACTTCAATGTGTTATTATGGCCACTTTGTTTGGAAAACAACTGAAGTAAACATGCAGTTTAGCAAGTCAGAGCCCACTGGTCTGACTGTTTTCAAGCAGGAAATGGGAATTGATTGTGAGCTTCTAGGAGCCATTGAATCTCCTTCTTTATGGAAGTGAGTGAGCAGTCAGACAGAAACACAGCACATCACAGATTTCTAACTCAGCCTGTTTGTTGAGCACTGTGAGGGAAACCAGGCAGTTTTCTGCCCCTTTTACTTCCCCTAATGCTTGCTTAACCATCCGAGCCAGAAAGCTGGTCAGGACCCGTTTCTTTAAATTACATGTAGGAACACTGTGAAAATGACACTAAAACAAATGGTATTTATATTCTTGGGGCCAAAGTGAAACTTTTTCATCACCATTAACATTTCCTAAAGCCCACAATTTCACTGCAGAAAGAAGCCCACAGAGGAATTACGTAGTAAGCCAAGTTTCAGTTGGTGGGAGCAAAAGAAGTAGTTTAGGTTATATATATATATAT